AATGCATGAAATTTAGAAAAAAATAAGGACTAAAACATTAAAATTAGATAAGTAAGATGATGCGTGCAAGTAAATTACTATGGGTTTACTTTTCCCCAATAACTTAGGCACTTTATAATTAGATAAAACAGTACAAATTGACATGCTCTTTTCATTAGCTATTGTGGGGAGCAATCCTGACTAGACTAAGTTACTGGAATTAAGACTTATTCTATGCATCTGCTCTCCCACAATATGGCGCTGGGAGAGAAGAAAACAGCTTCTACACAGCTGCCTCCAGTTCAGCCAATGGACTGTAGGACTTGCTCCTGATTGGAGGAGAGCAGCGTACTCGGCGTGTGGGCAGCCGAGTTGGGATTGGCGGAGGAGGACTATAAAGGAGGAGAGAGACGGCATGCACCAGGAACATCTAAGAGGAACATCTAATGGGAACACCTGTGCAGCCCCCGAGAGAGCCGGCCGGCGGTGTGCCGCTCCCCCGCGGAAGTGGGGAATGTGGCAGGGGGAACCGCCCTTCCACGGAGGTGGAAGGGATGGTAGCCAACCCAGGAAGGACCAGCAGCCAACCCGGGAAGGACCAGTAGCCAACCCGGGAAGAACCAGCAGCAAACCCGGGAAGGGCCGAGCAGACAGAAGAACAGTGCAGGGTCCTGTGTCGTTCCTCCACGAAGACGGGGAGCGACATAATGGTGCCGTGACTCAGATATGAAGCCTAGGCAGGGCATTGTGTCGCTCCTCCATGAAGAGGGGGAGCGACATAATGGTGCCGTGACTCGGATATGAAGCCTAGGCAGGGTTCTGTGTCGTTCCTCCACGAAGAGGGGGAGCGACAGCTATCAGTAACCTCAACGACCTAGAAAAGGTAAAACTTAAATGATTAGGAATGAATATAATATCAGTAAAGCCCTATTCTTATGCCAAAAATAAGCATGATAATGAAATGGATTATCAGTGTTTAAAAATCACATGAAATCATGTTGAAAGACTTTAGCAAAATCTCTGATTCCAGGACTGGGAAAAGAAGCATACAAGATGATCCTGCAGCATCTTATAATGCCAAAAATTAAGGAAGTGCTAAAAACAAAACTTCACAAAACAGCAATAAAAATAAAGCAGTATTGTATTACTGCTAATAGATTAAAATAAATATCCATGAACTCATACAAATATAAATGAGTAAGTAATAGGGGAGAAGAGATAGATGTCCATCATGGAAGAATTCCAGACAATTTATGTAGATCCTAACCCTCAAAGGTGGAAAGCTTAGCTCCCTAATCCTTGAGTGTGGGCTTAGTGACTTCCTTCCAAAGCATATAAGATGGAATAGGAGAAGAAAAAAAGAACTTTAAAATGGAAAATTCTGACAACCAATATTTCAATTGAAGGATCACAGTCAATATCAGCAGTTATGAGTCATTTGATGATATATTTGCATGAGAAGAGATGGAGAGAATGGCACTTCACTTCTCCAAAACATTTAACTCCAGTCATATTGGGGAAAAAAAAACAAAGAAATTAGAATTCTAATACAGGAACACCCTACCATGCACATGATTAGTCTTTCTCAAAAGTGTCAAGGTCATCAAAATTAAGAAAAAATTTATTAGACTCTCACAGGCAAAGGAGCCTAAGGAGGAAGGAAAATTAAATGCGGTAGTGTATCCTGGATAGGATAATGGGAAACAAAGAGAACATTAAGTAATAATTATGGTAACCTTATTAAAATATGGACTTTACTTTGCAATAATGTGTGCATATTGGCTTATTAATTGTAACAAATATACCATGCTAAGGTAAGGCATTTATAATAGGGAAAACTGGGTGTGCAGTTTGTAGGAACTCAGCATTCTATCAACCAATTTTTTTCTTTAAAGCTACCCTAAATAAGAGGTCTATTAAATAAACATCTGAAGCAAGCATGACAGAATGTTTTCTTTCAATAATTCTGATGGTTGATCATACAATAGTACTCCTTGGTATACTTTTGGGGCCTCAGGGAAAATATTTGACATAAACATTTAAAATTAAACTTTGATGCTTAATAGTTTGGGCCCCTGCCACTCACAGATGGAGTTCTGGGCTCCTGGCTTTGGCTTGGATCAGCCCTGGCTTTTTGTGCATTTCAAGAATAAACCAGTGGGTAGAAGACATATTTTCATTCATATTCTCTTTCTCATTCTCTCTCTGTCTCTTTCATAGAAAAAAATAAAAATGAACTTTGTATTTTATCAACTTCTGACTTCCTGTTACTTCTCATGCAGTTAGCACCCACATCACAGAGAGCTCTAGGTTGTTCCAGTTTATTTCCTGTACAGTATTCAAAATCTGTGCCTGTTTACTAAAATTAGTGACAGATTGATTTAACCGCTCTCACAAAGTTTTACATTCTAAGCATGCATAGAATCTTGATGCTCAAAGGAACCTAAAACATTTGTATTCACTTGGTAGAAATAGTAATGATTTGGTTATCTGAAAAGTCAGTATGTCTTATAAAATGGTTACTAATTTTGTTTTTTAAAGGCAATGTATTTTTAATTTGTTTATTTGTGGGTTTAAAAGGCAGTAATAGATAGGAAGATTTTTCCACCTGCTTGTTCACACTCCAAATGTCTGCAACAGTAGGGCTGAGCCAGGCCTACACCTGGTGTGTGGAACGCATTTCAGGTCTCCCATGTGGTCAGGAATGGACCAATTATTTGAGTAATCATTGGTGGTCTCCCATGATGCACGGGTACGAGGCAAGATCAGAAACAGAGGCGCTGGGACTCAAGCTTGTGTCTCGAGAGAGGGAGATAGGAGTCTCAAGAGACATCTCACTGGTATGCTAAATATCTGTTTACAGGGACTTTACAAACAAGTTTATTTTATTTGAAAGCCAGAGTTACAGAAACAGAGGGACAGACAGAAATCTCTCATCCACTGATTCATTCCCCAAATGGCCGCAGCAGCTGGAGTTCAGTTAGCCTAAAACCAGGAGCCTCTTCCAGGTCTCCCATGTGTGTGCAGGTACCCTAGCACTTTGGCCATCCTCTGCTGCTTTCTTAGGCACATTAACAGGGAGCTGGATTGGAAGTGGAGCAGCCAGAACTTGAACCACTGTACATATGGGATGCCAGCAGCTTAACTCAGTATGCAACATCAGCTTCCAGGGACATTTCTTAAAGTATTAAAAAAAAGTATGGCATTTTTTGAAGTATTTAAAAGTGTAGTATTTTTTAAAAGTATAGTATTTTGAAAATTAAAAAAGTAGACTATATCAAAGATATGCCAATGTCATATAAGTTATAAGGCATTTATTTTCCAAAAATCACTTATTTTTATCTTTTCTTAAAATTATCAGCACATGATTATCTAACATTGTTGCTTACTTGGGTTAGTTCAACACCCTATGTATTGCTCAAAATTATTAAGAAAAATGAGACCCCTGTGTATATTTATATATAAATATTTTAATTCCATTTATGAAATTTCTAAATGACATAAATTCCATTTATGGTGGTGGAGGAAGTATCAAGATGTGCAGTCAGCCAATTGGAGACAATAGAGAGCTAATGGATTATCTCTAGTCTGAGTCCAAGGGGTGATGGTCTACATCTAGTAGGCCAGGCCAAGCACACCCGGCTCTAACTGTATTCTTCCAAGTCCTATCTGTCATTGTGTCTATCTCCTATCTTTTCCTCCGAACTCTCATTTTATCTCAGCTGATTCTCATTTACTCATTTTTGAAATCTAATGAGGAAAAGTAACAAGGCAATGAACCCTTACAGAAAAGGCAATAAGCTAGGGTATACTAGGGCTAATGTGTGATTCCAGGTGAAAACCATTTTAAATCTCAGTTTAAATTTAGGGTTTTTTTTTTTTTTCATTAAATGGGCTTTGTTTGAAAGGAAACAAAGCTTTGTTGTATTGTACAATCACTTTTCTCTTATTAGTAACATAGAATGTTTTTGAACATTACACTTAGTTTCTGCTTGAAAATTTTTATGGAGGCTTCATCACAGACTTCAAAGACTTAGAAATCTATGAAGCAATCATCTACAATATTTTGTGTTACAACAGCTAAACTCTAGAAAAGGAAGCACAGAAGATATCAACCTGTTTATGATGAGTTTCAGAGCTGGAATCCTATCATCACCTGACAAGGTGAAGACTGAAGTTATATGTCTGTTAGTTCTCTGCAAACTCCACGCAGTTCCAGGACAAAGAGAGCCGGCGCTGCGGCTCACTAAACTAATCCTCAGCCTGTGGCACTGGCACACCAGGTTCTAGTCCCGGTCGGGGCGCCGGATTCTGTCCCGGTTGCCCCTCTTCTAGGCCAGCTCTCTGCTGTGGCCAGGGAGTGCAGTGGAAGATGGCCCAAGTACTTGGGCCCTGCACCTGCGTGGGAGACCAGGAGAAGCACCTGGCTCCTGGCTTCGGATCAGCGCGATGTGCCGGCTGCAGTGCACCAGCCGCAGTGGCCATTGGAGGGTGAACCAACGGCAAAGGAAGACCTTTCTCTCTGTCTCTCTCTCACTGTCCACTCTGCCTGTCAAAGAAAAAAAAAAGAAAACGAGAACTACTTCATCTATTTTGTCAAGATGTTAACTAGTCTGCTTCACTGACTTAAGAGTGACCACGTTAAGACATTCCAAATGGATTATTTCCCTCCCCTTTCTTTGGCTTTATCTTCTGATACTGCTGCTAATTTATAGGTTTCAAATTATTGACGCCTAAGAAAAAGGGGCTCCCTAGCTTCCACTGATAAAACGAACCATGCTCCTTGATCACATGACCTTGAATCCCGTGTATTTTTCATCACAGAAGGTCTGTTTATGTCTTCCTGAGAGCTGAGCATATATGTACTCCTGTCAGTCATAGTGTGACATAATAAGAGATAAGTGTTTGTTCTCAGCCCGTTACCTGGCACACAACTCCTAAAAACCATAGCAACTTCAAAGCAGTAAGCACATAATTTTATGTCAATGGGATGTCTGTGGCTATGGGCTCTAGGATGGCCTTGGGAAGGCAACTGGTTGCTAGGAGAAACAATTGTGGGATTAGGGAGTTAGAACTTTCAGCCTCAGTCCCTGACTTCTAGAGAAGGGTGAGGGAGATACTTCTGAAGATTGCATTGATCACCAATAGCTAATGATTGAACTGGGCCTGTATAATGGAATACCTGTAAAAACCCAAGCGCTGGCATTCAGAGAGCATCCAGGTTGCTAAACATGAAGTGGTGCTGCGAGGGTAACATAACGAAAGAGAAAATGAAATCTCTATACATCTTCCCCATCGTTACCATTTGCTTTTCTTCTACCTGGTTGTTCCTGGGTTATGTGCTTTTATAATAAAGTGATAATCTGGTAGGTGATTTTTTTTCATGATTTTCAGTGCCATGTTAGCCCATAATTGAAACTAGGGTGGGGGAGGGCTGTGATTAACATCTAATGAAAGCATAGGCAACAATGTATACTTTCTGTTAGCTTCTTAAATGGGAGATAGGAAAACCTTGTACATCCAAGCCCTAAACCTGTGAAGTTTATGCTAACTCCATAAATGGTCAAAATGAATGGAATTGTAGGACACCCAGCTGGGAGAATTGGTCAGTGTGGCATGAGAGCTGTGCGTTTTATCATGGAACTGTTCTGTATTGACAGTATAGAGAGAAATGGTTTGATTTTTCTACACATGGAAATAGAGAATATTTATTTGCCATATTCCTTGTATACTGGGGAATGCTATTCATAACTTAATATTTATACAAATTTATTTTTTGTATATAAAAGGCATCTGATTTAATAAAGATGTTCCTATAATACTGGCATAAATTCTGAACTAGTAGAGACATGTTAGTCGAACTGCCATCAAATACAGAAAGAGCAATACAGGTATATAAAATGTTACAGTTAGAAGTAACCCTAGATATCATCTAAGCCTCCTTTGTCCATCATCTCATAAATTTTAAAAAAACATGAAACTCAAAGGGCTGAGGTAGATGGCCTATTGCCAAAAAAAGGGGGGGGGAATAGATACCTAGCCTCCAAGCTACTATCACTTTGTAGAACACTGTGCTACCTTAAACACATACTTCAGGAAAAAATTCTTCAGAAAAGGGAAATATGAAGCCAATATACAAAATTGGTTTAGGTATTTTTGTCTTATTCCATTTATACCATTTAGCAAGATTAGTATACTACGAAATAAAAGTCTAATTAATGTCTCACTACCAGAAATACCTTTATTGACCATCTACCTGATGCTTAGATTACTTTGAGCTTTATGGGTAGAACTATATTGTATCTCCTTCCTGACCCACCAAAAAATCATAACTCCACCTTAGCAATTTGACTCAGGTTCAGCTTTAGTTTGCTCTAGGTCCTACTGTGATTAAAGTGTTCTTTTTAGAATCCATCTATTGTCAATAACTCTTAAGAGACTGTAATGCAGAATATTCTAGCAATAGTTTTCAGGGCTATATTCAGCTAAAGAGATGTAAGCACCATTCATTTCTCTGCAAATGCAATCGATTAATTAGATTGATTTTCAGAATTTTATGTATTTCAAAGGCAGAATGACTAAGAGGGAGAGATAGGGAGGGACCAATCTTACTTGCTGTTTCACTTCCCAAATGCCTGCAACAGCTGGGGCTGGGCCATGCTAAAAGTAGGAGCCAGGAACCTCATCAGGGTTCTTACATGGCTGGCAGAAACCTAAGTACTTGGGCCGTTGTGTACTGCCTACGAGGTACCTTAGCAGCATGCTAGGTTGGAAGCTGAATAGCTGCCACCCACACTGGCACCCAGATATGGGAGGCAGGCTTCTGCGTGGTGGCTTAATCCACTGTGCCATAATGCTTGCATCATGAAAACTGATTGTTCAAAGAGAGTAGGTACCTTCCCATCAACCTACAATTGTCAACAAACCTCTTAGGATGTACTGATATTTTTATTCTTTGTTTTCTTTTGTAAAGAGAACATTTACATTAAGCAGGTAAAATCATAATTTGCTTGAAGGTCTGATCACTTACGACTTAGAAAAAAAATGCCAGTGAAGAATAAGATGGCATTTGCATATACATTCTTAGGATTGGTGCGATTATTGTATCCAGTGTTTAAAAAATTCATACATTTGTACAGTGGTAAATATGAAGAATGTTCTTTAAATCTATTTTTAAAATGTATTTACCTATTATTTTTTCCCTTGTAACTATGATGCCTTCATGTTTAAATTTATAAATGACTTACTGGGAGATTTTCCAGAATCTAGAAATTTCTTTCATTCTCTGTCAGGTCGGATTAGAGTCTTCATTGACTGGTACTTAAGTACTAAATCAGAATTTCTTAATGTAGACTTTCTTCATGACTCAGTTTAAAAACTAATGTTTTAAATCATTGAATTATTCAGGATATGAATTTTCTCTTCAGAAGGGTGTCAATAAATCAAGGACACTGTTTAGAAACTCCTAAGGGAGACAATTTTCTGGAAATATAACTGTCATATGGTATTGGACTCAAATATATAGTCACATGGGAAATATAACTATGGGAATACAGAAGCATAAGAAGTATTGTCTTTCTTATAAAGTACATATTTTCCAGCTGAGTGCAGCTCAGAAGAGTTTGATATTTATGATCTCCTAGATTTGAAGTTATGAGAATCAGTTAAGTTTTAAAGGAGCAAAGGAAAATAAGGTCTTCAAGTGTCAGAGTCACCATGTGCAAAACAAATGTGCTTTAGTTCAGCATAAAAAAACAGGAACCCAAGAGAAAATAGTATAATTACTTTAGTAGATATTGAAGACTCCAGTGTCCATCTGACCCCTATCCCCAGAAAAGAACTGTACAGATCCCTGGGCAAATATAAGTTCATAATCCTGGAATCCAGTAGAATAGAAAAATAAAGGCATTTGAGAATTTAGACTCTGAAGACAGTTTCAAATCCTGACGTCACCACTGTATATTATTTATATGACTTTAGTGAAGTAACCTGATCTTTCTAAGCATCTATTTTCACATCCAAAAATAAAAATGATAAGAGTTTCTCAAAAGTTAATCTGAGCTTAAAATTCAATGTTCAATACATTTTAACGATTATCACATTTATTTGGTCTAATTTACTCAAGTCTGATTGATGAGACCATGTCATTATTCCTCTGTTCATCTTATTTGGTTGTCCAGTGAAAGCGATGTTTTTCTAAGCATTTAGGTCCCTAAAGGGGACCTGAAACTTACAGAAAATGTAAATTTTCATCAGTATAGGTTCTCTGCAAAGGATATAAGTCACTGCAAAACAAATAAAATACAACAATAACAACAAAACTTTGGAGAGCCTCAAAGAACTTCAGTAGAAGAGGCAATAGTTTTAACCAAGAAGGTTCCTTTTCATAATATTTGTATTCTAGCAAAAATAATTTCCTAAACATCTTCATTCCCTATTTGAATAATATGAGTACTAATATTATAAATAATAATTACTAATGAAAGCATTATAGTTTCTGTCAGACTTCCACATTGCTTACTTCATTTGATATTCAGAATAGACCCTCAATTCTCTCAACTACAAAAGATGAATAAGATGTCTGATTAATATTAGGTTGAAAATGTCATGAGAATCTCTCATCTCCTTTTATATTCACAAAAGCCTCAGAAGTGTTTATCCTACTGAACATATTTGGTGACTGCTACTTGTAAACAAATGAAAAGTGATGTGTATATCAACCAATGAAACATACAACTTTTGTAAGTACTTCAGAATAACTTTGTCATTTAATGTAACCTTAGTAACTAGAGACAAAATGGCATAATAGGAAGGATATTGTTTAGGGGTTGGAAAGTAGATTGGAAATCCTACTTTGCCTAATTGAGTCAGGACTTGCTCAATGTTTGCAATAGGCAAAGGCTGAGGTAGCCACTAAGGTTCTGTGATTGAAGAATGAAAAGGAGCTTACAGTCTGCTAGGGGAAGCATAAACATAGATTTTTATAATAAAATATGCTAATCACTAAGAGACATGTCTTGAGTGAATTCCCAGTAGAAAGGATATTTGCCCAATCTTGGAACTTGAAGATTTCTGAAGGAAATAATTCTGGAAACAAGCTGTCTGAATGAGCATTGCCCGGGGAAAGAAAGATGAGAAGGATGTTTGTATTAATGATTGTAGTAAGCATAACAGTAGATAAATTTAGCAGAAAACCAACAAGATAGCTACCAAAATTCAAGGGATAGGGGAAGAAGTATGGAGGAACAGGACTAGAACGATAGGCAATAATAGGTGAAAATAGAAAATTTTGAAAAATTTTCTATACAATTCTGATTGTGATGGGGATATATAAAAGGATTATAGCAGAGGAATGTAAATGTTCCATCCTCAGGTTAACTGATTACTCTAGTTACAGTATGAAGAGGAGTTTTAAAAATTTCAAACCTATATGAATAGTGGCTAGTTGGGGGAGCAGGAACATTTTTGCAATAGTCATTGAGGAAAGAGAAATATATGGAATAAGGTAGTAGGTTAACAATAGGAAAACATCAATACATTAAAACATTCATAGGGCCAGTGCTGTGGCGCAGAGGGTTAATGCCCTGGCCTGAATCGCTGGCGTCCCATATGGGCAATGGTTCGAGACCCGGCTGCTCCACTTCCTATCCAGCTCTCTGCTATGGCGTAGGAAAGCCTAGATGGCACAAGTCCTTGGGCCTCCCACATGGGAGACGTGGAGGAAGCTCCTGGCTCCTGGCATCAGATCGGTGCAGCTCTGGCAATTGCAGCCAATTGGAGAGTGAATCATTGGATAGAAGACCTCTCTCTCTGCCTCTCCTCTCTCTGTGTAACTCTAACTTTCAAATAAATAAATAAATCTTAAAAAAAAAACAAACCTCAGGAAGTAATCTATGTAGAGCTTGGTAAGTAAACACATGTAAATGTTTGAAAAAAGAAATGAGGGAATTAAAATGGACTTCAAATTACTTTCTTAAATCCTATTTAGTGAAGACAGTAAGAATATTATTACAAAGTGAGATTTTAACAATATAAACTTGAAATAAATAGTGATTATAAAAAAGGATTTTATTTGTGAACCTTTATTTAGTGTAGTATTAAGCCTTTGAGCATAATGAAAATTAAATTATAGTATCTCCAAAACTAGGAAGGAAGGAAGGAAATCAGGATGGGTGAAAATGAAGGAGAGAGGGTGAAAAGGAATATTATTTTATTCTTAGAGTTGTATCCATGAACTACATTGAAATTCTTCTATTCATATTAATATCTTTTTAACATGAAATTTCATTACATTAAGAAAATGTGTAATTGTGAATCTCATTGTAGATGTTAATTCTGAGCTTTTGGACATTTAGATATCATGTGTATACCATGTGAAATACGAATCCATGAACCAGTGGTACCAAGAACTTAACACTATGCAAAATATAAGCTGTACTTCTATGCTGGCTATTACTGTTCTGATTTTGTAAACTTTATTAATATAAATTTTGTATTCTTTACTTAAAATTTTCTTACTACACTTAGCTCTTCCCAGTTTTTTTGGCCTAGAATGTGTGACATCCAACATCAATAAGCATGCCCAAAATTCAGTTCTTGATTTCTAAATACCATTCTCCAGTGAAATCAAATAAATCCACTGGAGCAATGGTCCAAGGAAGAATGAATGGTTCTAAAACTAGGGCAGAGAAAAATGTGAGATAAGCCTGAGCATATTGTGGTAAGAGAAATGAAGTGAAGTGCTTCACAGGCTGAGTAATAATACTGTTAAATGACCTAAATGAAAGATCTCCGCGAGTGAGATCCCAGTGGAAAGAACAGGTCATCAAAGAAGGAGGTACCTTTCTCTGAAGGGAGGAGAGAACCTCCACTTTGACTACGACCTTGTCTAAATATGATCAGAGCAGGTGAACTCAAAAGGCTTCCATAGCCTTGGCAACTCATGACAAGAGCCTAGGGTGATTACTGAGGCCATAAGCAAGAGTGTCAATTTGTTAAGTCAACAACAGGAGTCACTGTGCACTTACTCCTCATGTAGGATCTCTGTCCTTAATGTGCTGTACATTGTGATTTAATGCTATAACTAGTACTCAAATAGTATTTTGCACTTTATGTTTCTATGTTGGTGCCAACTGTTGAAACCTTTACTTAATATATGCTAAACTGATCTTCTGTATATAAAGAGAATTGAAAATGAATCTTGATGTGAATGGAAGGGGAGAGGGAGAAGAAAGGGGAGGGTTGCGGGTGGGAGGGAAGTTATGGGGGGGGGGAAGCCATTGTAATCGATAAGCTGTACTTTGGAAATTTATATTCATTAAATAAAAGTTAAAAAAATACTGTTTAATGAATTTCATTAATCATATCAGTATATATGTACATAAATAAAGGAATGAGTAAATAAATTAGAAGAGTCAGATTTTCCTTACAGAAGAATTTCAAATTATGTGAGTAGATATTCCAGCCTTCCAAAAGGTAAAAAAATTAAGTCTAACCTCTTTGATTGGCTGGGTTTAGTGACTCACTTGTAAAGCAGAGAATATGGTGGAGGGGAAAATAACAAGTATATAGTAGGGCGAACAAGACACATGTTGCAGTAACAAAACTCTGAAGCGTAACATCACCAGTGAAAAGCCATACTGATCTCAGATACCCTCAAGTGCAGTGAGCATTCTCCATCATTGTGCTATTTCTCTCAACAAGTTGCCCTACTTCATGAGAAAATGGAAGACACATTCAAACCAAGAAATATTTCACAAAATATCTTACCATTGCTCTTTAGAACTACAGGGTCTTAAAACATTCAAGAAATTGATAATATTGTAGCCCTGTATCAAATTGGAAGTGGTGGTGACAATAGAGCAAAATACAACCTTGCAATCTTGGACTAGATTTTGGGAGAGAAAAGGATAGTACTGGAAAAGCTAATAAAATGCAGCTAACTCTTCAGTTTAGATAATACTGTTGTGCTAATGCTGACTTCTTATTTTTAAAAATATGACAAAGTTATGTAAGAAAGAAGTTAACATGGGAAGCTTGATGAGAATTTTTCCTTAGCCATGGTTATTTTGGAGCTGAAAATTAAAAATAAAATGCTTCTGACAACTGAGTCAGTTGGTGGCACAACCAAAGGAGACTCAGAAAAAGCAAGCGTCCATATATGAATTCCTCTGGCATGCTTTGTTTCTATGATTTTATTTATAGAATGTGCAAAGAATATTCTAGTGTAAGTTAAAGAGTAATAAGGGATCCCTAAGAATGATTAATAATAGTGTATTTTGCTAAGGAAAGTATGTAGAACCTCTACCTGAGAAATTCAAAATTTTGCCATTGTAGTTAAAAACATGACCAGTACCAACTAAAGCAGTAATCAGTCATGTAGAGATTATAATGTTGTTTCCATGTAGCAATATTGGCAACACTACAAAGTAATTTCTAAACAGGAAGGAAGGATGAAATAAGTCATGTATTTCATTCTGTATTCATCCATTTATCCAACAAAATGTTTTAAATGTCTCTATGCTCCAGGATCCATATTAGGTTCTGTTATCACAATCAGATGTGCTCACTGCTCCACTCTGATCCAGCACAAAATACTCTTTGGATTGAAAAATGCATCCACAGGCACAAAGACTTGTGTAATTGCAACTTGTCTCTTAAATTGAAAAATCTGCTTAGAGATTTTATAATAAAAGAAGCACTTTGCTCCTGTTTTATGCACAGTGGTACTTCAAAGGAAATCCAGGGCCTATATGAGACATACATGAATAATAATTTAGAATTAATTTTATGTAACCTTAATTTTCCAAAACATAGCTCCCTCTACATCCCAAATGGCTCATAATAAATAATTTAGAGTTAACTAGTACATTGACTTTGGATGAAATGAAGACAAAGTTGACTCTCTTTTGAGTTGAGTAGCTAAGAGGTATCATCTGCTATTGATTGCCTCTGAAATATTAAAGAACCCTATTCCCAGCACATATGAATGGAAAAAAAGTGAGGGAAAAGCTAGAATGATTTTTTTCCTGGCTATATATGCTGTTTTGAAAGTTGTTTCACACACTGAGGGAGAAATCTAAACCTTTGACTTGAAAAGAATTTTCTTTGGTTCATTTGAACAGCATGATTTTTCTGACTGCCTGTGCCCATTTGTGAGGAAAACCACAATTGAAACAATACAAAAAATGGAAAAGGCATGGAATAATTATTTACAAAAAAATAATTTTCTTGTTGATTAAATATATTTAGGAAAAAAACAAAATCAAAGAATCAAATCTGATTAGATGGTGTTTTGTGTGTGTGTGTGTGTGTGTGTTGACAGACAGAGTAGACAGTGAGAGAGACACAGAGAAAGGTCTTCCTTTTTCCATTGGTTCACCCCCTAATGGCCGAGGCAGCCAGTGCGCTGTGGCCAGTGCGCTGCGGCTGGCGCACCACGCTGATCCGAAGCCAGGAGCCAGGTGCTTCTCCTGGTCTCCCATGCGGGTGTAGTGCCCAAGGACTTGGGCCATCCTCCACTGCACTCCCGGGCCACAGCAGAAAGCTGGACTGGAAGAGGGGCAACCGGGACAGAATCTGGAGCCCCGATCGGAACTAGAACCTGGGGTGCTATTGAGCTTCTCCCTTCTTGCCCCTCTTTCTCTCTGCCTGTCAAAAGGGAAATATTTTATGAGAAATTATCTATTTGGAAAAGTCATTCTTTATTAAAATAATAGAAAGAAAATGTGTAAGAAGACAA